CAAAGATTATCACCAATTACAATTATTTGTTCATGTTTTTGACTATGTTCCTTGATATGTGGAACCAACCACTTTTGCTATGACTATACACCATTCCAGCTGGCCCACCTTGCGTCCAATTGTTATACAGATTCTGGGATTTGTACACTACCATTCGTGGTAGAAGTTCGCCATCTGCCGTTCCGCATACATACTACCTACAGAAGTCCTCGAATCTTCCTTGATTCTCTCCACTCTTTTCATGCCTCTTGGAACGAGAACCCTTTTAGAGCCCGGGTCGTCGGTGATATTTTTTTCGTCATAATTGTAGATATTTCGACAAAGAGCATTCACTAAATGAGGTTCGATATTTGTAAAAAACTCACGAATTGCACTTTGTCCCACAGATGCCCGATTTAGTTTTATATTTGTGGCTAGCCTTACGCGTAAATTGTTTCTAATTGCAAGCTTCTCACAAAGTCATATCCTGATGGTCTGTTATCTTGCCATATTTGTACGTTACGCCCCTGTTTGTTGATAAAACTCACTCACTCACTAACAGTTCCGAGTGTTTCACTAATTAAACTTTCCTCTTCTTTTGGAAATACCGCCGGATGGCCAACTTTGCTTGTATGTTTTCCGCTAATTCTCTCCAAAAGGATTGTCCTTGGAACCTTGTATTTTATTTTATACTAGCTGCTTTCCTACTCATACCACTCCGTACTGCTGCAATTGCATCCTGCATATTTGTTTCATTAAATTGACGATATCGCCTACCACCCACCTTTTTAACGTAATTTCTGACCATTTTTAGCCTAAATATTATCAACCTCTCGACAGTATACACATTCCGAGAAAACGAACACCTGCAGAAACCCGATTGGTGTCGAAGTTATCCTGACAGTTTACGGTACCGATCTGATTCTGATGAAATTTTGACACAGGGTCACTACTGTGCCAAGGATGGAAAAGCTTTGTAGCTTCTAAAAATCGGTCTAATGGTGATAGAGCTAGAGGCAAAAATCCGAAAAAAATAAAAATCGCTTAAACCTCGTTGTTTACGTTTCAGAGGCTCCTGATCATTATCGAAAGTTTTTTTTGTAGGGGATGAAACTTGGGGTTTCGGAGCTGTAGCGAATAGGGGTTGTAAATGTAACGTCTTCAGCATCAGTTTGAAACGTCCTATCATTAAGAAGCTTCTGATTCCAGTCACAACATGAAAATTAAATGATAAAACTCCGATACTGCCATGGAAACAGACCTTTTTCAAGCTTCTTACATGCGGAATCAATTTGCTCTATCCATTTTAAGTTACACTGTCTTGTATTGAAGACTGAAATTAGACTGTGAGGGAATTTTTGGTTCCATAAGATATTCAACTAAACCAGTGTTTGTTGTATTTATTACACTGGACAACAAATTTTAGTTTTTTAATTGTATCTTGTGGGAAAAGTGCACTTCTTTGTTAATTTTGGGGCGCTGAATCCAAAAATGACAATGAAATAAAAAAATTAGTTGCGGTTTAGAAAAAAAACTTTTTATTTTCAAGGATATATTAAAAAATGTAAGAAGATTCATATACTTATAAGAATCACTATATGCGCTGTCTTTTTGCTGTTCTTTTATGGATCGTTTCTGGAGCATACCAAGGGTCCAACAGTAGTCTGCAAGCATGGAAGGATTCCACTTTCCCTGGTACCTTTTTTCCATTGTTGAAATATCCTGATGAAAACGTTCGCCGTGCTCATCACTTACGGCTCCGCAATTGTCAGGAAAAAAGTCCAGGTGTGAGTGTAGGAAATGTATCTTAAGAGACATATTACAGCCCATCTTTTGATATGATGACAGCATATTTTTGACAAGGATTTTATAGTTGTCAGCTTTTCTATTTCCCAAGAAATTAGTGACCACCAGACGGAAATCATTCCAAGCAGTTTTTTGAATACCTGTTAAAGTGTTTTCAAACTGTGTATCTTTCAAAATATTTCGAATCTGTGGCCCAACAAAAATACCTTCTTTAACCTTTGCCTCACTTAGTCTTGGAAATTTCTGACGCAGGTATTGAAAAGCTGACCCATCTCTATCTACTGCCTTGACAAAGTTTTTCATTAGGCCCAACTTGATATGCAGTGGTGGTAATAAATTTTTTTTCGAATCTACTAATGGCATATGCTGTACATTTTTTGACCTGGCTCTAGGAATTGACGAACAGGCCAGTTTTGTCTGGTGTAATGAAGTGCCTTTGCCCGACTGTCCCATTCACACAAAAAACAGCAAAACTTTTTGTAGCCTAGCTGCAGCCCAAGTAAAAGTGCAACAACTTTCAAATCGCCACAAATATGCCATTGGTGCTCATCGTATTTTATGCATGTCAATAGGTACTTCATATTGTCATATGATTCTTTCATGTGAACTGCATACCCTACAGGAAGAGATGGTAAAATATTTCCAATATGCAATAACACTGCCTTTAAACTCAATGTTGAACTTTCTATAAACAATCTCCATTCTTCTGGGTTATAGCTTATATTCAAAGCCGTCAGTAAGCCGTTAATGTTACTGCAGAAAACCAAGTTATTCTCCATATTGAAAAATGGTTCTAAGTCTTTGTGGCGTTTACGAAAAACACATCCTACCGAAACATCGTCTTCTAACAAGTTCCACTGCTGCAGTCTTGATCCAAGTAACTCTGCCTTACATTTTGGAAGTTCTAAATTTCTTACAAGATCATTTAATTCTGACTGTGTTATTTTGTGCGGTTGGTGGCATGACGTGCTCGGTATAAAATCAGGATCTCTTGACGTTGATGGCATATCTTCTTCCTGACGAATCACTCGATCGCCATGATCTGATTCGTTTTCTGATTCGCAAGTGTAGGATTCTGGGGGTTTTGGAATAGGATTTTCGTCACTGTGAGGCACAGGTCTCATCGCAGATGGTATGTTTGGGTAGTTAATAACCGATTTTTTTTCTTGGACATACCTGTGGCTTGTCCAACACAAGGTACCATGCAAAAGTAACAATCATTAATATGATTTGTAGGCTCTCTCCAAACCATTGGGACAGCAAAGCGCATAGACCGTTTTTTGCCATTTAACCAGCTCCTCAGACTTGAAACACATGTATTACAGCAGATATGGGGTGCCCACTGTTTGTCTTGATCACCTAATTTACAACCGAAATAAAGCTGATATGCCTTTGTTATTAGTGGAGTAATAGGCCGTCTGTGAGACGCAAAAGTCACATCACCACACACGTAACAAAACTGATCTGGATTATTTACACACTTTCGAGACACCTTGCATGAACGCTGTCAGCCAACTGAGGAAAAAATGGCTAATATAAAACAATATAATGTACACGTATGTATAACGTAACACAATCATGCCGATTACATCATCTTTCCTTGCCGAATATAAAAATGTAGCACGTGCATTCTTGTGAATAGTATATTAACACTGTCACAGCAGGAACACATATAATTACCGTATCTCTAAAACTTGAACTAATATTGAAAAAATAAGTTTCATTCCGGTTTTAGCACATTAAAAATAGTAATATTTTGTTGATTTTATTTAGGATATTTTTTGGCTGGTGATCAGTGATTAGTCTGTTTTTGAAGCACCAATCATTGAACTCATTAACCGAATCATTAATTTTTTTCTTGAAGACGCTATTGCGATGAGTCAGCTAAAAAGATATTTGTATCGTCTGCATACAAAGGTAATTTTTCGTAGGATAAGTGTGCAGCAAATCATTTATGAAGGTCGAGGTGTGCCCCAATCTAAATTATCATCACATTTTTTATCAGCGACAGTAAGATAAACATACTTATTCTCGAAAAGCTAACTAGCCATTGATTCAAACATCCGCGTCTGTTGACATAATGAAGTTTATCGGCCAGAAATGACGAACTTACACAGTCAAAGGTTTGAGTCAAATCAAATTGGATACTCCTACGTAGTTACCTAAATCAAGTTCATCACAAACATTCTGAATATACCCGATAATGCTTGTTTCAGTCGAGTAGCCTGCCCTGAAACCATGTTGTGCATACGCGAAAGTGTGGGAAATCCCGAAACCTCAGTCCAAAAGTCAATAGTTTGCGAGATACAGGGTGTCAAAGTTACAATTTTATTTTCTATTTTTCCTTATTGCTTGAGAAATAAGTGAGATTTTGGCATAAATTCGGTACCTGGAGGTTTTCTAGTATAAGAAACAAGAATCCGTTATTCTGTATGGCCAAACTTCTAGGTGACACCAATTACAGCACTATTTCGGTCAATAACTCATCATAACTTTTTTGTGCAACCCTGTACACAACAGCTGACCAAAAAATTGAAACGTGCCAAAATCACGTAACCTTTTTTTCTTATATTTATCACTTATCAGTAATTTGAATTTCTCTTCATTGATAATAGAGTGCCCATCCCCAGGCCAAACCCCCTTTCAATGATTTTCTTTTTGGAAATTTAATGGTTTATTGATTGTGTAATTTCACTCGTATTATATGTTTCTTTCTCAGCGATTTAGTATGGTGTTGACGATCAGCAAAAAAATTCTGTAGTTTTTCTCCGTTAGTTGGTTAGTTGGCGACTGACCTATAGTTTTCATCATCACAATTTTCACTTTTTTTAAATATCATGACTAACGATGCCAGTTTAAGTGCTGTTGAAAATTCACCAGCAGCAACCGATTTGTGAATGCTGTCTGCCAGCACAGAGGCAAAGATATCCATGTTTTGCTTTTTTACTAAGTAGATTGGAATTTCATCCGGCCCTGTGAAATTCTTGTCTGGCATGTTATTTATCACAAATATAACGTCTTCAGTAGTGATATGGGTGAAAAACATTGATGGTTTGGCTGCTTCACCAGTAGTGCGATTAACAAGCTCGCCCGCTGATCCCGCTTCCGCAAGAGCATCCGCCATATCGTTACATAAGCTTTCGAGGTCGTTATGTAGCTAGTGTGCCTCTCTGGAGGTAATTTTAAAATCAATATACGTAACCCACGTAACTCACCAGGAAGACTCCTCCCCCACCTCCGCCGCCATGGCCTCCATAGCCCATGTTGGCCAACATTTCTGGGGAAAACCTGTTGAACAGTCCACCCCAGGCATTCGCTCCTTGACTAAGCAGGCACACAGCCAGGACGGCCAACGCGGCTTTCATTTTGTCTGAAACAGAAAATTATTACGATTAGTTTAGTTTCCTTTTATGCTGAGAAAATAGGGGGGAGGGGGTAGCGTATTGACACAGAACTTATGAAATGGAATGTTTCATTATTTCACCTATAACGAGTGAGAACGGGTGAGCTTTTAGCAAGACTTCGAGTAGCAAACAGTATTTCCCTTAGTTGGAAAATCTTTTTGTCTATACAGGGAGATTCATATTCATCTGGTGACCCAAACATGCGTCTTCTTTTATTTTGAAATGACGTACTGTTCATGGTGTCTCAAATTCGGCACTCACTATGGGGAACTCGGAAACTGTCAGAGATACGAAGGCGCTCAGTTGGGGGCAAAAGTGCTTATTTAGGTTATTAAAAAAAGGCCTCTTCGGAAGTTTCTAAATTCAAAGTACTTCCGGAGAGAGACGGAAAAAATCGAACTTGCATGTTATCATTGTTATTTACTCTCCTCTATAAGATGGGCAAATTTCCAATTCGGCATTTCTTCTTTGGGATTCCATCATCAACTTTGTTCTTTAATTTGGACGATACATTGGAATTTTGTACATTTGAATGGACCTTTCTATATTAAATTCAGTGATGTATTTCCTTAGTTGCTATCAATTTGTTGTTGTGTAAAAACTATAACGAAATTAAGGGGTAAAACCTGAACACAAAGTGCATATTTTATTGATAGTAATAATAATAAATAAGCAGAGATAAATCGTAGCAGATGTTCAAACTGTTGTCCGTTATTCTGTTTCCAAAGCCTGATTTATCTGTACATTGTTCACTCTCTCGGCTGAGAGAAGAAAAGAAATAAATCGAGAGACTTCTAAACTCTGTTGCCACGTTCAATTCGGGGTCTGATAATTTCAGAGCCTACCTAGGAACTTGTGTTTTTGAAAAATAACTAAGGTTTGGTTATGTCAGTGAGTGACGTTAGAGGAAAGGAACCAAATTTGAGACAAGCGCCTAATTTGAGACAGTTGTGTAACTTTGTATCTTTGTAGCACCATCTTCTAGTAATACCAAAAAGTTGTGAACTGAGACGCAGTAGTATCCTACATGTGTTTACAGTTTATTTTTGCACTTGGTTTGCTGTGACATCACAACTTGTTACTTCTTGAGAGTTAAAAATATTTTTAATGCTGCGAGAAAAGTGATTACTAAAAGGTAAGTTATTTAGAATTGTCTGATATAAACTTAATAGTTTACAAATACCTTATTTATTTTATTTTACAATATTGTGAGTTTATTAGGTATATTACCTAAATATGCTTGTGTACCTTTTTTAATGGAAAATTCTGAATTTGAGATACCCAAGTTTTTCTAATTTGAGACTATCTCAAATTAGGGCCCTGTATCAAAATGCAGATGCTTCGAAATACAAGAGTAAGGAGATGGATTATTTAAAAGCCTCAAAAGGATTCGGATAGATACCTTCCCCCTCCAGTTCAAGGTCAGAATCCAGCGGAAGCCTCAAGTTGGATGATTCATCTTCAGACGAAAGCAAAATGAAAGCGATGCTAAATGTTTATTTTGTACTGGTTGATTTTTCGAAGATAAAAAGGGTGAAAAAGGGCAAACTACAGCCATTGTAGTAGATGGGCACATAAACGTTGTGAGGAAATTACCAATAAAATTTTCATTTGCACTTTCTGCAAAATAAAGGGATTTTTTGAATAGTATCTCAAATTAGGGAACCAGCTGTAAATTGACAAAAATATTTACTTTTTTTAAATATACTTTTTGTCTGTAAAAAATACATTTAATATTATCTTTTCACTTTAGAGTATGCTAGGAGCATCAAGTCGCAAGTTTATTTAAAAATATACGCTCGTTTAAATAACAATTACTTTACTTTTCCTTTTCAAAAAAAGTATCTCAAATTTGGTTCCTCTCCTCTATACATTTTCCGAATCAGAACTGAAAACTCTATTCATCCTTGCTAAAATCTAATATGGCATAAGAAAAAATAAAGTTGATGCTGGAAGACAAGTGTCGAAACGTCATATTGGTATTTTAATTAAAGAGGAGAGCAAGCTGCAAAGTTAATGTGCAATTTATTTTAAAATCCCACTGCAAATAAAGTCAGGAAAAATTAAAACGATTATGGAAAAATTGGGTTTTTCCTGTCTCACTCATTAAGTTCTTTGAATTCTGAAACTTTTGTTGAATAGGATTTTGTTTTCAAATTGGGAACACTGATATAGGTAGTATTGGATTTTTCGTTTAGAATTAGTTGCTGTGATTTGTCGCTCCCCACTTACTTTTTCAGTTTTTGAAGTCAAAATTAACTATTTCTAAATTTTTTCAAATGGAAAACCTCATATAGTTCACACGTTTTGATTTCCCTTTTTATAAGCTTTTCTCTGCTATGAGGTTTATGGGAGTTTGTATAACTGGTTTTTGAGTTGCTAAAAACATAGCGACACCTTTTGACTTTGTTGCATAAGGCTAGGTAGATTTAATTTATGATAAAAATACGGCAATTCTAATGATCTGCCGTTACCAACTAAATGCTGTTTTTTAGTGTGATATCTGATTTACGAACGGGTGAGATGTAACCCAAAAACCTGCCGTCCAAAACCTCAAAAGCCTTATATCAAAAAAGATGGTGAAAGAGGAACCAAGGAATGTGAAGTTTTACATTTAAAATTTTTGAGAAATTGTTTATTTTGAGTCTTTGACTACCCTGCACAAACTATTCAAAACACCGAAAAAGTTAGTGGAAAGGAACAAAATATGGCATTACAAATTTTTTTAACGAAAAATCCGGTACTCTAAAAATGCATGTTTGCTTCACCGCATGGTTATGAATCGCCCTGTAGAAATAAGTAGATATATTTTCCCGTTAGCCAAATTTTTTTTATATAACTTGTTTACATGTTATGCGCAAGAACATCCTGTATAGATCTTTGTACGGATTTCATACATTTACTTTCCTCACATATGCACAATGCAGTCGACCTCTATGCGCGAAAGTTTCTCTAAGCTCACATACATAGTCTTATTTCAAACTGCAAAAACGACCATTGAGGTGGCTGAAACGCCAGTAAATCTTCCAATTCTACATGTTCAGATCACGGAGATTGATCAGAGAGGCGTTCACAAATTAAAAGTAACAATAATTTTCTTATTAATACATTTCCTCATCACCAGTTCATATTCCGTGCCCCTCGTATGCGGTGTTTATTTTGTCACTACACTGCCTGAAGATGTCGCTCGGTTTGCCGGATACCGGCAAAAACGAAGGTGGCTAGAAAAACAAAGCGTGCTTCGCGAATATTAGACGTCAGAATAGTCATGATAAGAGTTTTTGTTAGTATCCTTTCATCTCGGGAAGTCGATACGTCGTTTGAGTATAATCACCGTGATTTTGGGGGTGTCTTTATATGCACACTATTCACGGTTTTTTCAACGTCGCGGTAATCTTATAATGTGACACTGTGACAGACTTAAATGTGTTCAAGTGCAATTGTGGAGCAGTTCTTGGTGCATTGGTAAGTTATATGTTGCGAGTAGCATGCATGAGTATCTAGTTTACATGCAATTTAAATCATATAATCAAAAACCCTTTATTAATTAATAGTACACGTGGGCGGAGAACCTGTTTTCAAACCATTGTAGTTCGAAATTTTCTAGTGCATTATTTGGAATGTAGAGGTGTCGTTTTTGTAGGTTTTAAACCTTTTAAACAGTAAATATATGTTTATATGTTTCACTGTCAACCTGTCAGTAATTCAATAACCTCAGTAACTGCTGCACTAATTGTGATGCCATCTGGACATATCCTGGTAATATTAATCTATATAATTTTGAAAATCGGCCATTTTTTGGAGTAGCATTTGTCTTAGGAAAACTTGCTTCTTCTGGTTGAAATGTATAGGTACACCATTATGAAAATACGCGTGTTGTCTGGTGTCTTTTTGTCATTTCTTTTTGATTATTAAAACTTTTTTTTTGTTTCAGGGACCTGCAATCGTGGACTGTGTGCAGCACGAAGTGCATCATGTGGTAAGATATCGAGTTTATTCATATTTCAACATTTTACTTCCCACGTTACTGGTGAAAATGCGACATTATGCTTTTTAGATATTACATGGTATGTAAATTATGGTATGTTGTTCATTTCCGTCGGTTTGTTTCACTGTTTGTCTGTCCGCGTACCCTGAATCTCGCTATATCTTGGGAAGTACCGGTAGGATTTTGATGAAATTTTCACAAAAGGTTATTACCACGGTACCCCATGGGTGTTTAGGTCTTATGGCCGTATCGTCAGTTGTTCCTTCAATTGTAGAACGCCTTTATGGCCTTCTTGATTTTCATTATTTTCTACTAGTCTGTGTCAGCGCTCTATTTTGGGGTTATGTTACAAATCTAACATCAATTTGTTCATGCCTTTGGTTTACATCATCTGTTATATAAGCCTGATATTTCCTACAATTCAAAAAGAAAACATAGCCTCATAATAAGAGGTAGCTGACGATGACACGGACCAGTAGAAAACTAGAAATATCCCAGCCTTTGTGAAGGAGAGAAAATACTGTTAAAATCAAAGAAGCATCCTACAATCTATTGTACGGCCCTTAGGCCTTCGTGGTAGCTGGAGTATATATAAAAAACTATATGAAGGACGAAAAAGCTTTATAATGTTTGCAAATCGGTCCAGTGGCGGCGGACCCAACTAACAATTATCATTCCTATTAGAGTTGCAAGAATGATTATACAGTATTCCTTACACATCATTGTATACTGTAAGAACATTGGCAAAACCCTCTTAGAACAGCTATACAAACGGAATGGGCACACCTAATAGGACACTCCAGTCATTTAAGAGATTGTATAAGGTAACAGTTATACAACAAAAGTGTAACCCTCGTGCAGCCGCTATAGGACATTTGCGTAAGTGCAAGATTCAGTTTTTGTCAACTATGCAACTATTCTGTTACGTGATTCTACTTTATTGCAACCAAACTATTTCTTATGTATTGTATAGACGAAGTGAAGAATATATAACTAACACATTACAGTCACCTTGTTTACTTACATATCGGCCATCGTGCAAAGTAGTTACGCAATTTCTACAGGCTTCGTATTTGATTCATATTTTGATAATGATCAAAAGTATGTCTAGATTTTTAAGATGGAAAACTGAACTTATCGGCGTTAAATCTTCCATAAATCGTATATTTAGACACAATTACACTAATATTTATCACTTTATATCTGTAATTTCGAACTGAAATATAATTATTTAATATTAAATAGAGGAATACATGTTTGCCCAATATGGCTGGTGGTTGTGTATAATCATGGCATCGTTCATGTTGACTTTAGTTTATTAGAATATTTTGGTGTTGCCTGCAGGTGTTATACAGTTTGACAAATGTCTGAAATGAAATACCGACAGATTCGAATGATTTACCCAGATATATATATCTTCTGTTTGAACAGTTGATAAAATCTTTTGAACCAATATGCATGCGTTGTTTGTCTTAAAACATTGGATGTGGCATTTTAACAAAAATATGACAGCAGAAAGTTAGGTTATGGTGAAGTTGTATACCAACATATTTAGCATATGTTCAGCCTTTAACAGTTATTAAACAACAGTTGTATAAGTGCTTCCGTTGGGAGCAATTTGTTGGCTCAAGTAGTAAATTGCACAGCAAAACAACAAGGCACCGGTTTGTTTTATAAACGTTACCATGGATGCCACAATACAACCATTTTGACTAACGTGCAAAAATAATTGTACAAACGTTTATGCAACAGGTAAAAATTTGCCCTATAAGGTGTTGTATAGCTGTGCTATAAGAGTATTTTAAACACCTCATTTTAGAGCAAATATGTTGCAGAAAGCAAATTTGCATTCCACAAAACATTAAGCCAGCATTTTGGTGTTCAGGCAACAACAATAGAGAGCTTTTATGGCTGAACGGTTCTTTTACCAAGAGCTTATAACACTACTTTGCTAGTTGGGGAGCTACGGATTAAAACAATACGAAAAAAAAATTAAATAAAAATTTGTACGCTCGAAACTCCGGTAATTATATACACCCATTAGACATATTCCACACATGACAGGTATCCCTATAGGTACTAACTATAACTTTTATCATAGCTCTTGAATTCCTAGTATCCCTGTAGATGACAAAACTCAAACTTTGTTTTGCAATAGAGTTTTATTATTTTATCATTCTGTTATTGTTGCATACGATTAGTCACTCTAATCATTTTTATTTTCTGGCGGCACCGACCATACGTCATATACTATATGTCAAATACATTCACCTGTTTAGAACGACATTAATTTAATCCAAGATTCTGTGATTTCTTGCGCCACTAGGTGAGGAAGTATAGCAATTCCGTAAAGTTTCGAAATTGAGATATATTTTTTGGATGGCATGTATATGACACGTAACACCATGCCACTCATCTCTGTCGGTCTATAACGTGAAAAGTACAGCTCGGATTCGGATTAAATTTTGACACAAGATTGCTACCATGCCAAGGACCACAAAACTTTGTAATGTTTGAAAATCGGTCAGTGGCGGCGCACCTGCAAAGTATAAAAATCGCTCAAACTTCGTTAGTTTATTTCTACGCTTCCAACTGCGATGCTCATATTTCACACATCACAGGTCTCCCCCTAAAAATTGCCTTTAAAACTTGGTAGATAAGTGTTCTCGATACGCATCTTTGCTTTTACCCTTTGGGTTCACCATTGGGCGTGCGCGTCTCGATGAGTGTCCGGCCATTACTGTCATGGTACCTCTTTCACACCAATGCTGGAGACATTAGCGGAATATGCGACGAAGTTGTCTACGTGGAAACTGTAAAAGTTATCCGCATAAGCGTTAAAATGAAATGGAGCACACTAACTGCACTTTACGGTCTTTTCCAATAGTGCCAATGCCTTTATTCTACATGTGGCATTATGTGGAAAACGCCGAAGTTCACCTTCCTACGTCATCAGCTTATGCATGGGAAACCTTGTCGTACGCAGTGTAATCCTGTGAGTGCAGCTCTAGCTTTTTGCAGCGACCATCAAACATAAACTTTTCGCAAAACTCTCAAGCAGAACAAATAAAACTGCATCTCTGGCGGGCGATATTTCCAATTAGAGTTCTGAGTTTAGCTGCTTTGATACAATTAAGGACAGCATAAGCCTCGAATTGCGACTGCACACTTGGTTCCGCGTTACCAAATCACCAAAGGCTACAGACTCACGAGCAGTAGGATCACACCGTGGTCAAACCAGTTTCAATACAAACGAACTGCCTCCTGGAAGATAGATAATAATAAGCGTTTATTGCCCAACAGTTTAACTCCATTTACAGAGCAAACTACTATAAAAAAAACAAAATCACCAAGAGGTAGCTTGTGAAGAAAAAAAAACAATAACAATTCATGTATCAATAACAAAAATAAATATAGCTACAGCTTAAAAATAAGAAACGTAAGATAAATCAAAAGTGAGCACGCAATTTGCACTTCAATTCACCTATGCTACATAAGAATATGTCACATACATCAGCTATTTTATTCGCATTCACACACATCATGCTGACAGGCGCTTTCGACAATAAGTTTGTTTGAGCTCTTTGACATAAAAAAGGAACATTATACCTTGATGTTAGTCGTGGTACCAGAAACTGTATTTGTGAAAGTATTGTAGGGCAGTCTATTAGATTATGCAGTAATTTATATAAAACTATAACTGCTGATTGCTCACGCCGTTGTTCTAAGGATTGAATGCCAAATTTATGAAGAAGGATGTTGTATTCTGTACCTCTAGTAGGATATATGCCATCGATCTTAAAACATGAAAATTTTAAAAATTTCTTTTGAAGTTTATCAACAACATCAATATATTGCTTGTAAATCGGACTCCATATCAAAGATCCATATTCAAGCTTAGACCTAACCAAGCTAAAGTATAATGTCTGCAAAGTCAAAACGTCAAAAGATCTACAATTCCTGATAACGAAGCCATAAGTTCGGTAGGCGCTTGAAATGATTTGATTGATACGCTCATTAAAGGTTAGATGTTGATCAAAGTAGATACCTAAGTCTTTCACAGTTTCACTGCGCTCAAGAACATGTTCGATCATTGTATAATTATATACCATGGGGTTGGTGTTCCTTGAAAAAGTTACTACTTTACACTTACTTATAAAGGGTGTCCCAAAATTAACGCAAGATTTGAATTAAATAGAAAATGCCATTTTTAGTCTTTTAATAGTTATATTTTTATTGACTCATAAAGTACATAGGATAGGGTTATGTATGGAATAACACATCGGACAAATGGCCTCCACGGCTTTGCATGCACATGCGCACTCTTTTGTCGAAATTTTCCATGACCCTTCTGCATAAATGTGGCTGAATTTCGTTGATGCAGCGTTGAATCTCCTCCTTTAATGCACGGGTGGTTGTGGGCTTGTTGACATAGACTTGTGATTTCAAATAACCCCATAAAAAGAAGTCTAATGGTGTTAAATCACACGATCTAGGAGGCCAATTTTGATCACCGAAACGAGAGAGTACACGACCGGGAAATGTCTCATGCAGTAATTGAATTGTTTCACGGGCTGTATGACATGTGGCACCGTCTTGTTGAAACCACATATTGGGTACATCAATATCATTCAATTTTGGCAGAAAGAACTGTGTAATCATGTCGCGATATCGAGCACCAGTAACAGTCACTGCTTGACCAGCATCATTTTCAAAAAAATATGGCCCAATTATGCCTCCAGCCCAAAATCCACACCAGACAGTCACGCGTTGTGGGTGCATTTATTTTTCGACAATCACACGTGGGTTCTCCGAACCCCAAATGCGGCAATTTTGGCGATTGACAAAGCCATCAAGATGAAAATGTGCTTCATCGCTTAGGATGATTTTGCTTGAAAAATCAGGGTCCATTTGTTGATGTTCAATAATCCATTCAACAAACTCTCTTCTCTCTGCATGGTCATTAAGCTTCAATTGTTGTGTTAATTGAAGTTTGTAAGCATGAAGACACAGATCTTTGGTGAGTATACGCTGTAGAGAGGTTCTTGACATTTGCAATTCTTGTCCACGACGTCGAATTGAGGTTCCTGGATTGTCCGCAACACTCTCACGCACTGCTTCGATATTCACATTTGAACGGCTTGTTTTTGGACGACCAGTGTGTTTGGCGTC